AGTGCTAGTGCTAGTGGTAGCGGTAGCGGTAGTGGTAGTGGTAGTCGTAGTGGTGGTGGTGGTGGTGGTGGTGGTGGTGGTCACAGTCGTTGTCGTGCTAGTGCTAGCGCTTGCGCTAGCGGCCAGCACTAGTGGTCGTGTAAGTGCTGGCGCTATCTTGGCTATTGCTAGTACTAGTGCTCGTGCAAGTGCAAGTGCTAGTGCTAGTGCTAGCGCTGGTGCTAGGGCCAGTGCTAGTGCTGATGCTAGTGGTCGTGCTCGTGGTCGTGGTCGCGCTAGTGCTAGTGCTGGTGCCACTGCCATTGCTCGTGATAGTGCTCTCAGCTACAAGGCATAATATTAATTCTATACTCATACAACGACTGCTGCTGCTGCTGGTGACACCACTACTACTACCACTGCAAGCACCACCACCGCGACGACTACTACTTACCACCGTGACAGTGCTACCACCAACACCCCCACCACGCTACAACAGCTGCCACCACTACGACTAATAACAATACTAATGACAACAATAATAATGCTAATAATGATACAGAAAGTGTCACGCTACAGGGCCGAGTTTTGCGCCAATCCAGTTTTTGCTTGTTCACTTTATCTTTAAGGAAAATGATAATAGTGGTGATAATTCTGTCGGCATTACTCTTACTCTGCTTGTGGCTATCATCCTTCTTCCATCCCTGCCAGCCGGCCGGAAAACCCCTGCCAAGGCTCTACATTGCACAGTCAACTCAGTATCCAGCCAACACCAGAATCTCCAAGTATTTCGACCTCAGATTGACAGATCAGCATCGCTCGACTTTTCCAGGTAATCTCAGATCTTTAGGCAATGGTTCCCTACTGTTGAAGAGCAGCTTATAATGGCTTCTTGCACCTGCCTCTCCAAACTCCAACCGAAAGGCAATGAAGGCTTCAGCCCAAGAACTTACTTCAGGCGAGCGTCGACTTCAGGTACGTCCTTACGTCCAGTTCGGAAGGATATCCACTGGTGCCGGCCGGGACCACCGGGGCCAAGGGGCTGTTGAAGTCCACCTGCTACGTCTACAGAGTGGTACCCAAAAAGAAGAGCCCAGTGCTTACCGACTAGAGCAGATCTGGAGTCACAGCTTCAGCTTCAGGGTCTACGGTACGGTGCAGTCCTTCGTCGATGCCAAGACTGAGGTTCTGGATGGCGAGCTGTCTCCAGCGAGTTTTGATCTGTTCCCCTCAAAGCCTGAAGCCAAGCTTGACACTGCCTAAAGCATCTGCCTTGTGGCTGACTTCCGCGGGGAGGCCCAGGAAGATCACTCCGTTGTACATGTCCATGTCTGGCTCAATCAGGTGCATCCTTTTCAAAGCGGGAACCACGACAACAGCAGTTCAGGGTCCAGAGCATGTAGGAGCCAAGGTAAAAGCCACAGTAGCATGCTCGCGCGCTTCTAGCCGTAATCTGGCGGCATTTTGCTAACATGGCTGGTGGTTCATCGTTTGCACTGGAAGGTAATTAAATACAACTGTGAGCATAACTGATGTGGGACTCGAGCAAGTGTTGACAGGGAGGTTCTGTTGGTGTTCTAACAAACTCTCATGTCACATGAAAGGCCATGGATTCAGTATCATGTTGATTGCATGTCCAGTTGAACAACAGCCATATTCTACCCCCTCACCTTGATAACATCTCAATACGAACCTACGAACCTACATTTACGTGGATCTTCGTGGCATTGCAACAGCAATAGCACCGTGACTTCAAGAATTATCATCATCACCACCACGACCTTCATCATCCTGCTGAAGCTCGCCAGCAAGTACTTTAACATCCGGTGGATAATAATAACTGTCAATAGTAATGATGCAATGTTTTATCTGCTGTCGTTTAACTAAAACATGAACGAGAACGCACTCAAGAATGCAGATGACTCAGCCTCGCCTACCCAGATTCCTTTCATAAATAGTTGAGAATTTCAAACCTACTACGCTCCACGTCGAACCTGGCTAACGCTTGTCGAGAAGGCCGGCTAGAATCCAATGAAAATCCTGCGAAACTCCACCTGTACTGGTTTCCTTGATGCCTGCGCTGGCCTTCCATCCGTCCTTTGCTGCTTCCTGTTGTGCTGTTGTTGCGGATTCCTGGCAAGGTCAACAGAATCCTAGAGTCCTACGTGGCAGTTACAAGATACCACCGGATACCACCAGGCAGCTGGTTGCTTCCTGGATGCTGGTTGATGAAGGGACGTAGACCCCGTCCGAAAGACTCCGAAAGGACAGAAGGACACAAAGCATGGAAGGAAGGTGGTGGTTCTGTTCGACTTCATGTGCCTGCGCTTCTGCGAAAATCATCACACCCGTGAAAACATCCACTCCAACACCACAACCGGCTTGCAACGCGAGGTTCGCATTCACCTCCACACGCACACCGCGTGGTTGAGAAGGGTCCTGCAACATGTAGTGACTAATGGAGCGCCAATGCTATATGAGCATGGTGCAAAGGTAATGCTCGAAACAAAGCAATTGTGCAGAAAGTTCGAAAGAAAGCACTTGTGCAGCGGACTGCTTTATCCAAAATATTGCAGAGCCTACAACTGCCAGCCTGAGCGAGCCCCCGAATCCAGCCTTGTGGTGCTGAACGCAGTACACTTGGATCTTCCCTGGCGATTGGTGATACACAGCTCTGAATTGATAAGGGCCTTGCAGAGCATTTGTGGGTTTGGGGATTTCGTCAGGTTTCCGTGCTAAACCTAGCAGAACCTTCGGATCTTTGGTCCACGTCTGTGCCCGCTCGTCAACTGGAAGTCTGCCATATTCCTGCGTGGGGATGCTCTACAGTACATGGGTTCAACCTTGGCGACAATCGCACCATTGCATCGTGCCGTCTCAACTGCGGAGTTTTGCAAGCCGAAGGCCCTCAGCTTGCTTCAAACCTGTACTACCTGCCTTCGTCCCGCCTGGGAATCACAAGCCCAACATACCAAATTAAGCAAAGTCCCGATTCGAGTTTACAGCAATGAAGCCTGGTTTAATCGACTGGAGGTTTGTTGACTTAGAGGGCGGACTTGTCACCCAAGTACCGAGTATGTCCCTGCCGAAACTCGAGAAACATTCCGCAAGGGACTGGCCTTGCGACAAACTGAAGCCAGTCCTTTCCAGATACGATGTTGAGCATGCTAAGCTTAATCATCTGCCGACGCAGCTGGTGTGAAAGGGTACCGCTCGGTGGATACAGGTGTGCATCTACATTGAACACGTACATGTCGACATACCAGAAGTGAGCAACCACGCCTGGTCCTAGTGGCTCCATGCCACCGTCCCACCCAAACAAAGACAGAGCCCGGGGATAACAGAGGCTAAACCCAAACTCTCAAACATTCGAGGCCCATCTGTCCTCTTCGCGATCCTGAACGTCATCTGCACGCAGCCGTCTACCACTCTCAGAAGCGCCGTGTCACTGAACATCACGCTCGCTGCGTGCGCGCTGGCCTCGGTCCAGATCACTGCGCTGAGATGCCCAGAACACGCAACAAGGCACGGAACTCATTTGCAGCCCAGGCGCCGCTGAAATCCTTCGTTCAGGGGATCTCTGAAACACAAATGCAGCCCCTGCTAGCTCCCGATGAGGCTCTGCAGCCGGCGGTCTTCAGATTGGAGCTTTGTCAGAATCTCTAGACAAGCCAGAAACGGCGATCCGGTGAATCAACCAGCGTGTGATTCTAAGCTAAGTTTTAACACTGAGCACAGAATTGCAAACGTGTCGACGGAACAGAAAGCTGCCCTCTCCTCCAGGCACAAAGACATGTCAGCCAAGATTTGTCGAGAAGCTGAGCAAAAACGATGCCAATCACAGCTGCATCCAGCATCTGCCCGCAGACGACCTGATGGCGATTCTGCCCAGATTGCAATGTATGTTTAACCACCTCAATCGTCCGTGCAAGATCCTGCCCGACCAAGCCAGGAACCCTACAGTGCTTATAACTTGGGATCTCGCCTGCAACGGCAGCAAAAGTACCGCTTCCGGGCAGCCAGCGAAGTTCTCCGCCGGGGCCCCGTAACCTGGTTTCAAGCACGGGCGGACTGTCGGGCTGCGGAGGGTGGCGGGCCCGCAGATTCACTGCAAAGGCTCACAGCCGCATCCCCTCATACAGTCTGCTTACCCGATGCTATTTGCAGAATGGGGGCCGATGGTCATCTGCGTCTCGACGGAGAAGTAGAAGGCCGACATAAGACCCGAAAGCCTTTCAGGCTGAGACTTTCGAGCTTTCGGACATAGCCCACGTGGGAAACTCCCTGGATCCTCTAGCTCCCGAAGATCCAGCCCAGAAGCCCGATGGCGCAGCTGTCGGAAATGCTCCACCACATAATCGCAAAGAGCAGGTGGCAGAGTGCCTCACCAACGTTTGCTGCTGCCGGGGATGATGCGAATGCAAAAGAAGAATACACACTTACCCCACTAAAGTGAGATCTGGCATCTTTTGTTCTCCGAAACCGCGATTTGAGAGCAGGATTCTCCAGCTCTGGACCATGAAAAGCTTAGGTCTTGCATGAGGCAGAACTCGCATGCTGCCTGTGATCCGAGGTCGCGGCGTAAGAGATGAAGACCATCGGATAGACTCCAAGAACGGGCACTTGAAGTATAGTGTGGAAGAAGTCATAGAAAAACATAGCATAGATCTTCCGCTTCTTCCGAACCCAGTACACCTGATCATGTCCGGACTGATTCAGAACGGTTCACGTGTCCAGTAAGCCATTCAGCGTGCGTGTAAGGTGTATCAGCCCGAAACCAGTCCGAAGCAGAAGGTTCCAGCCCAGACGCCCGGGTGCTCTGGGACTCACCCGCGTCGCGGTCCAGGATGCGCTTGATCTTGCCTCTTTGCTGCACCAGGAAGTGGTCCTGAGACAGTCAACTCCAGCAACTACGAAGTGACACCCTCCTTCTGGGGACGCGTGCAGCTGGCAACTTGATTGAGCCTAGCCTATACTGTAGGGGCATGAAAGCTTGGCAAGCCCTTACACAAGGCGAGACGTGAGACGTGCCCTTGGAACTCAGGGATGCCGGCTTCAACCCAAGTGAAAGCCTGGAGATCGCCCATTGTTGCAACTTGCCTTCCCGGCTGCCACGTAGGCACGATCGGGGAAGCAAACGCAAGACAGCCAAAAAACACACACACACACACACTCTCATACAAGACGTTTGAAGTGTCGATAGAGTCAGTCATCAGGTTCTAGCAATCGGCAGGCTCTTCAAGCCAAAAACACCCAACGGCAACCGCACCGAGGCTGGTCGAGTGGCTCGGCGCGTGATCTCCCGCAAGGGTGCAAAAGGCGCTGAGACGGCGTGGTCGAGGTCGAACCTGTCCTCAGTCTTCGACGCGGTCGCGCCATCACTCGGCAGCACTCGGCTTGTGCAGCGTTCAATTCAGCTCAAGGTTCCTGGCCATGCGCGAGAGTGTCGGAGGACTCGTGGTCGTCCTGATGCAGCCACCGCAACTCCGCTCGAAGCCGAGAGACCCCCCCCAAAAAAAAAACAAAACGTATTGCGTCAGCCTCATCGCTCCGCTCTGCGGCATCCCAAGAGGCCATTGGCCCAGCAGGACTGCATTACACTGTGCCTCAAGGCCGCTGGTTCAAGAAACTGTTGAGGCCTCAAGTTGTACAATTCAAAGCCTGCAGATGCTCGAGTGCGGCTCGATCGAGGGTCTGAGGGGAGCTTGGGAGCACTTCGACTTGGCAGCACTCTTGTGTTAAGACTGGCCGTGCCGGTGATCAGCAGTCCGGAAGATAGTTTGGCTGGGTGTTAGTATGTCCAGATACCCGTGCTGTCATCACGACGGCCGGTTCCATCAATCCGGATCTGGATCCAGAACAGCTGCAGTTTTGCAGGCACGTCCGACTTCCACGCATGCACGTCTCACGGACTCTCTATCGTTTTCTAGCCGTCTCGGGATGAATCATGAGAGTCCAAGGAGAGCAAGTTCTGGAAGCGGGCAAAATGGTTTTTAGAGGAAACACGTCCAGTGACGGCCAATTTACAAAAGCGGCTCCTAGGATCGGCACTGCCCTTCTACGAAAGAACCGCCCCCAGGCAAACCACGAAGAGCACCTTCTGCGAGTTGCAAAATCAACGTAAACACCGACCCTCACGCAATCCAAGGAGTCCAACTATCCAGTTGACCCGCTGCCAGGGCGGAAACTGAGAGAAGACGAAAAACGCCCGATCTATCCGATCTTCTCTCAAATTTGCTCAGGCCCGGGCTGCAGATGTAGTCGCGGACGGCTGTTCAGCACTGCCGCCACCAGGTCCTGACAGCTGCAGTTTTGGAAAGGCGCATGCTGCTTGCTTGCTTTGAGACTTTAGGGAGTCGTCGTGGCTGTTGCCTGTAACTTTTTTGCAATAGGCTGGGGTGCCACATCCCCACATCCCAGTGTATTGGTTTCAAGCCTGGGAATTGAACTCCAGAACATGACCATATCATCTGGGCAAGCTCGGAACCTGCTGCGCTTCGTGCGCCCGCAGCTCCAGGCAGACATCGAGAAGCATGGCATCCCTGGCGGAAGCAGTTCAGGGCATGGCCGAGACCCCGGCGCGAGACCAAGGAGAGGTGTCTCATCGATAGGCGAGGGCGCAGGTTTCCGCTACAGGGAACAGAGTCAGAGAGGGAGACGGAGACGGAGCTCCGAGGTGCTGAGGGCCCGGCTTGCTGGCTGGGAAGAGGCTCCCATTGCAACAGACCTCAACAGGGCCATTGCACCCGCCCATGGGGATTCTAGTGTGTGGAAGCCTCGCGGAGCAGCGTGCTCGCGGTGGAAGATACCTCGCTGCTAGAGAGATCCGAGAGCCTGGATGGAACATAAGGTTTTGGAATATAGACAACAGATAAATACACTATAAATACACTACCCCTAAGACGGCGAATCAATCTGCAGCTCTGAAGGATGCCAGGCCTGCTTGTCCTCGGAGCCCAGCAGGGAAGCCAGGTTCCGCAATGCAAAGGCATTGAAGAAGAACACCTGAAAGAGGGGCCCCAAGTTTTTGACAGCTCCAAGCAAAACCTGTGGTAAATTGTGCTTGCAGTACTTTGGATTTCTTGGATTTGTAATTTGGCCCACGAGCCGTGTCGCAGACTTCCCCGCGGCTTTCTGACTCTGCCGTCTACTTCCAGTTTCGCGGGCCGGAAAATGCAACGGGACTGCACTGCCCTGCCTTCGTCTGTCGTGGCAACTGCCTCTGGCGCACCACCAACTCCAGGATCTCAGCTAGTCGCACAGGCAGCACGGCAAAGTGTCTTCAGCCTTCCAAGCGAAGCATACGACAAGTGTATGCATATGTCACCATATGTTACATGACATACAATCTATCGCCAGACCCATTGAAGAACCTTCGAGACTCTTCCTGCTCGGAGCCGTGCGTCACGCACGAAGGCCAAGGCTTCCTGGGGTGGATCCTCACCGACCCCAACACGTTCAGCAGTGCTTCAGAACTTGTGCCTAAGGGGGTGGCACCGTCCTGTAAGGAACGTGCGTGCAAACAGTCCACCTATGGTACCTTGACCACATATCCAGGACAGACCCTTCGAGGAAAGACAGAGTGGCTTTCAGAGCTACTCGTCAAACTGCACACCGTGTCCAAACTCTGACCTGCGATAATCCACGCAGGACGCCGCCAATGAGGTCTTTGATTCCTGGCAGGGACAGGTTGGCGAGCAGGACTAGGCCACGGCGAGACGCATATCTCCCACCCATGATGGCTCCCGAGTACGACTCATGTGCACCGGCAGCCTAGGGCAGCAGATGTCAAGGATGGATCCTTCCATCGCAAGAAGCCTCGAGGTTCGGAAGGGGGTAGGGAACCAGGCAGTCATGAGTTCTGCTTGTGTGTCTGTCGGAAACACAGGAAACACGGGATCCAGGGCATACCCCGCACCACGGCCTTCCGCCAAATCTCAAGAACCCTACATGACATAGACCTCGACTTCCAGGGAAGTCTTGTGAGTCTTGTGGAATCTGCCCATCTGGATACAACGGCCGGGGCTTGAAGATATTTTCTACTGACAAGACACTCCACTTCTCTCAGCTTCAAGGCCACAGATGTGGATACAATAATGCCATTACCCAAAACCAGACTTTGGGACGGAGCTAGGCAGCTAGGCGCGTTTACGTTGAAATGCTGCCGTGCTGAAGCTCAAGGCAGCTGGGCGGCTGGTGGCGAATCTGGAAAAGAAAGTCCTCGTGTCCACCTCCGAGCACGCACAACAACATCAGCAACCAGAATCAGCCACCCAAGCATCGTCATCTGCTGGGGAAGGGAGCATCGAGCATGCACCAAGGCACGTCTGCTTGTGGTTGGACCACTTCCAAGCTTCATGCTCTGCCCCTACAACAGAACGCATGCCCTCAGCCACTCTGGATGTCAAGTCCTAGCCCAAACTCAGCGAAACCTCGGCTCGCATGCTGGGGCGCCTTCGGAGGCTCCTTGCGGTTCCCCTGAGGCAAGGCTCAGAAAGGCTCGGAATCTCAGTCTTCTCTGTCGTTCCCGCAAAGCTTGCAGTGCTGTATGTACATGTATATGTACCACAGAGATGCATCCTGAGCCGTCAGCGGTGGCCCTGAAAGCACCACAGAACGCGATCAGTGAGACCACACAGCAAAACCCATCGCGCCCGCACCTACATGGCACAACCCGGGGGCGGGCCTTGTCCTTCTTGGAAGCCTGATGCCTCCTCTGGGACAGCCTTGCAAATCCTTCGTGGGCAAAGTTGAAGGTCCGGAGCCTCAGCGCTGGGGTCGCATATTCTGATTGGGCCGAAGCAGCTGGAACTCAATCTCAAAGGCTCTTACAATGCACCGAGGTCTGAGCAACTGCGAGGACATCGACTGGCTCACAGAACTCACTCCCGTCAGCAGCCTTTCAAGACCGTTCAGCTGGCTTCGTGGCGCGTACACAGGCTGTTACGTGGCGCTTCATCCGAGAAAGGCTGTGACATACGCAGTTCCGGTCTTCACATTGACATGAAGCCCCAAAGCCCTACGTTTGTCGGCCAAGCTGCAGTACGAGGACGACGCGCTACTCAGAAAATCTAGCGACTACAAGGGGAGCGTATGGCATGCATCCAGGTGGTGCCTACCTCCCATTCCGGTTTGCAGCTGTCCGCGGCACTGCCTCAAGCAAGCCTTCAGCAGCTGGTCACGCTCGGTGCCCAGGTAGCGGTAGAGCAGCTGGCCATGGGCAGAGGATCGCAGTCAGACTTTCCCGTCTAGATCAGACACTCGCGATTAGGGTCTGATTCGCAATCTGTGCTTGGAGTGCAGGTTTCAGACCGCAAGCCCGAAGCCTGCAGGTGCTCCGACAAGACACGCCCCGCCACGCCCTGCCGCGTCTTGGCAGTTCGGGCGCCTGGTGCACAGAAGCGGTGCCCGCCAGGTGGCAGTTCTGATATAAGGGAATCAGATAAGGGATTGAATTCATCTTCACTGCGGTAAAAAGTTGAAGCGAAACAAGCATGCAAACAACAGAAGTCACAGAAGCAGTTCCGCCTAGGTGCAGGATAACTAGACCACCACTACATGCAAATGTTGCAAGCTTAGTGCAGGGAGTCATGTTTGAAGCGGCTCCCTAGGTCCGCACATCCGGCACAGCAACATAGATGCTGACGCACCCGCCTTCATCGAAGCCGCCTTCCAAAACTGAAGCCAGCGTCTCGATCACCAGGGCGGCAATGCGGTTTCCATCACCGGACTCCTGGTGGCAGAACTCGGGGAGAGAGGCCAATCGCTGGGCGATTTCTTACAAAGTGGCAACTCGAACAAACCTCTCGTGCTCCAAATTCGGCGTAGGCTTCCAGCCTTCGCCGGCCTGATTTGTCTAGGGTACATGTAAGGCTAGCAGGTCACACCGGGACCGCGTCAGTGAGGGCTGGCAGTTTTCGGCTAGCAGGGCCCACTGGGAAGGGGTCAGTCTGAAAACATGATGTGTTCCAAATATGTGGTCTTTCATCACATTGGCCGAATTCGGAAGCAAGCTCCCAGTCCTAGGAAGTCTCATTTGGGACCACATGCTGACCGGCCTTCGTGTTTCTTGCTGGCCGATTACTGTTAGCCGGCAACCATTACTGGACCCGATTACACCTTGAAAAACTAAATGTCATCCGAAACAGCCTGACAGATTTCAAACTCCGTGAGTGTCTTCACATTGTCTTCTTCCCTCTTCGGTCACAACCACAGTTTAAGGAATGTGGCGAAAACATTAGGTGCGGCCTCAGTGGCACCGACGCAACACTTCTCACTGAAGCTCTCCTGACGCTGCCACAGAGCGAACAGCTCGGCACCTTGGAAAAGCAAAGTAGCAGTCGAGTTGGCTCCCGCAAGTGCAGAACCAGCAGCCTGGGCTTAGGCAGCCACACTGCGGCGACAGCTGCACGTATGCATTGAGCAGCTGCACCTACCGAATCATGGGCCCCATTCCTCATATCGACGAATGGACAGTTGAAGGAGTATTCATGAGACGCCTCCCCGCTTCGGAGCTCCGCACAGAGCCCGGCCAGTGAAGCTTCGGCTCGCTGCTTCTCGCCTGAGCTCCAGGAGTGGCCAAAGGAGAGATACGAAGCAAACGAGCTCAGCGCTTTTGCCAAGCTCCGCGCCCTGCAGCTCATTTGCAAGCGTTCGGGCCCTCTCACCTGATGCTAGCATCTGCTGCTAGTGAAGCTCGCCAGAACTAGAGCTCCAACAACAGCAGAAAATGTGGCGGTGGTGGCGGTGGTGGCGGCGGTGGTGGTCCTGGTGGCGGTGGCGGTGGCGGCGGCGGTTTTGGCCAATATTTCGAACACTCAACACCCGGAGGCTTCGCACAGCAAGCTTGTGCAGGACAGGACGCTCTCCATGGATCAGAGGACCAACGCATGGCCAAGGCGTACCCATACCGACCGATGCCGTCAGTTGATTAAGGCTGCAATTGTAGCCCAAGTAGCCAAAGGCTGTGCATGACTCCAGGGTTGGACCTTTTGGGTTCGGGGGATGGCTGGAAAGGTTTCGCCGAATGCCTGGCATTGCTAATGCGCGAGGTTGTTAACGAGTTCGCCTCAGGGCGTCGGGATCTGCACACAGAGTTAAGACAGACCTGGCTCATCAGCTTGGTGATGCATTATGGCGAGCCTTGAAGACTACAGAACCCATGTGAATCAAGTATGGCATGTCATTCAAGCATGCCTCGCCATGACTTCATTCCCTCCAGGCCTCATGGAACTCGCAAGGACTCTAAGCGAATTCTTTTCTTCTCCCGCCGGGGATTCCCAGGGCTTCTCGGATTCCCAGGCACTGGGGCTGAGACTGCGACTTGGGGCTCGAAGCTACGGGTACATGACTTGCAAGGGCTCTTTTTTGAAGAGACCTCCTATATACTCGCACCATAAGCCAGCTTGGCTTCTTTCGCCCCAGCTCCAAGCTCCTGCAAGGACGCGCCGAGGCCAAGAAGCGAAATTCGAGACATTCCTCTTATTGGCATCGAAATGAACGTCTGGTACTTGGAGCCTCTTGGTCTCACCTGTGCTGTAAACGTACACGATGGAAGGGAGCTTCTCCATTCAGGGCCTCAAGATCTTGCTCTTGCTCTGTGGAAATACAGCTGCGCAATGTTCCTTCGCATGATGTGCAGAGAGGAGAAGCGCCGTATGGCTGCCGCTGCCCGCAGCACTTAAAGCGAACCACAGAGCCAGCGCGCTTGCTTCGCAGCACTAGCAGAGAGGACGGCAGGGCTGGCGGCATTATGTACAAAGACTCCGGGCTACGGGTGGGCCCGGCTTGCATCAAGCTGCACTCAACTGTCTTTCACAGAAGGCAGAGCTTGGGCAACAGGGCCATACATGTCAGCTCAGATCCACATCGGGCAAGGAGGAAGCCGCCTTGGAAATGTGCAGCCTAAATCGTTGCCATCCCTATAGCACATTGTTCCACCAGTCCATTCCATTTCTGCAGCAACGTCCTTGCTACTGTCAACACAAGGTTTTGCTGCTGCTGATGAGCTGATGTTTATGCTACGTGTATGTATACATTTTTTGCTTATATTCAATCCGTTCCAAGATTGATGAATATCTTGGAATCTTTATCTGCTCTTTGTGTAGATTTCCTTGTTTGTGTCTGCTAAAGCAGTGATGTTAACCGTATTTGTGCTATTGCCTTCCCTCCTCATTAGCTTTAGTTGCTTTTCATGTATCTTCAACTTCAACTATCTATACTTGTTCAAACGTATTTGTCTCTCGCTTGCTTACATCTATCCTATTCATGTTTATTCATATGCGCTTGTATTTACTTGCACCGTGGACCGCAAATGGTTTGCATTCATTTCCGTTAAAGCCACTCGGTATTGGTATGAATATGTGTGTATAAGCAAGACATGTACATTATTTATGGATTTATTTACCTGTTTAGTTATTTATTTATTTTTGTTCCCGAAAGCATCGCGACGGGTTCTTCCGTGCGAAGCCCTTTAGAGAA